ATCGATCTCCCTGTATCACTGGATTTAATAGGCTTTGTGTTTCTGACCAAATCCTGAAAATTTCTACCTTCATCTTCAAGCCCGCGGAGAACAGGGTTAGATAAACCAGAATCGATGTGACCTAGTATACACTCAGATTTTTTTTTAGACCCAAATAAGGATGATAATTCTGCAGAGTCTGTGGTTGTACTCTAGAAGAAGTGATCAGCAGTAAAAACCATAACCTCTTTAAAGCAGTTAAGTGCCTATAAATGTACTGCGGTTGTTCACAAGCTAAAACATCCAATAAGGCTGTGTTACAACTCCACCCAATAAAATCCCGCATGATATCTGTGACATTTTTAGAGAACACACACTGACAGACAATAACATCAGTGTGGTGTCTTGATTGCTGTATAACTGTGATTAGAAAACAAGATTTTCCTTGTAAAGGTAGTGTGAAAACATCATCTCACACTCCCTAAAAAGTGTGCTTTCACTGCATGACTAATTTAAAGGCTCACCGCTCCCTTGACTGGGTGAAAATTAAGATCTACGTCACTTATAATAAACAACCCACTTGTCAGAAAATTCTATGTAATTTTACTTGCCTGTGTGTCACAATTTTAATGTTTTTAAAGTAATTATAGTGGACATTGTAACATGATACTCCCTCTATCCAGCTGTACCGATAGCTGTGAAGAATCAATACGAGCTGCAAATCTAAAAAAAAAAAATGGCCCTCTAGTGGGATTCGCTCACCACTGTAGGTTTTACGTTCTTAGAGATTTATAATGTATTCATTAGCTTCCTAAATATGCTGGGAAGTCCTGCCCAGACAGGCGTATGTACAAACACATACCCTTGGGAACATGAGTACATTGGGTTTGTTGTCATGGAATGTTCTGGACTACAGAGCATCAATGACAATCTCCAAGATGAACTACATAGAGTGCTAAAACCTCTTCTACTATTATAGCACATATTCACACTCCTTTCAATGGTTTCCCTCTGGGATCAATTCTTTCTGGTTCCTTTACTCTGTCAAGGTTGTGGGTGATGTGTTGAAAGAGCTTTTCAACCTCTGCGTCTGGTTAATTTTAAAGTTTAAAGTTTGTATTTTCCTTTTGAGCTGCAGACATTTCTGTACCTGAACTCTATAGCTGCACTGTCTCGTAGAACATTCTAGAGAATAAACTGAATCTTGTTCTATTTAACAACACATAAACTGTTTGTTGATCACAAAATAAAGTAGTGTCATCCTTCAGAGAGTGTACATGTTTTTAAGCTGTATTAGAGGACAAAGGGACTAAATTTAATTATTTTCACAATGACATTGCACTTTGCCATAGAGAGATATGCTTTTGAAGCCACACATTTAGACAGATAATGTAAACATTTAACACGTTAACATGAGTTCATAATTGTGATGACCAGCTGTGCAAAGTTTTGTTTTAATCTGTGACCAATTGAACGATTGACCTATGGCTAAGCCACGCCCCCTCCACTCAAACAGTCAACATTCGGGGACAGGCGCTATTGCAGCTGTCACAGTGGGAGACCTTTCACAGGAGGCAATTGGTGATTTTTGGAGACAGGAATATTATATATCATCCCGAAGTGACCTAAAGGGCCTTAACGGTGCATTGGAGGGTTATATTAATCATTTTATTGTTGAGAAGGTAACAAAAAAGCTTCAGCTCCAGGCAAAAATGTAACTTACAGGTCACAATGTAAACGTGATAAACCGCACATCGTTGCCATCACCGTTTGGTGCTACATGAATCATTCAGCACAACATTGTTAACATTTGTTGTCTCTGTTGTTTTCTAATGTTAGGCTAACTTGATTACGTTAGAGATTTTAAAGATAACGTTCAGATACGTTGTTGACTTAAATTAGAACAGATATATAGACATCCTCTTTTAATTTATCCACGTTTAGTTGGTGTTGTGGTCTACCGCATGACTTAATCGCATAATTTAATCCAGAGCAGACACTTATCTCGGTTGAGATGTGGCTTGGGAAAGGGTAAAAAAAATACACACCGTCACCCAGTCTCTCGGAATAGTGTCGGAGTTGCATGTACCCCATGCACACGTTTGACCATTTTAAACTTAAAATGACAAGAAAAAACGAATGAAAACGGACTAAGCTTTTCAATGGACATGGAAGCAGTGTATTGGGTTAGCTGTGCACTGTGATTGGCTCATCGCGTTTGAGGGTGTGGCTTAGCCATATGTCAATTAGGAGACACAAACACACTTAAATATAATAAATATAATCACTGAAGATTACTGCTGAAAATTCAGCTTTGCCATTTTAAAGTAAATATTTAAACTCATTTTAAATAGTAATAATATTTCACAATACAACTATTTTACTGTATTTTTAATCAAATAAGTGCAGCCTTGATGAAACAGACTTACCAACCCCAACCGCTTGAATGGTAATTTTCAATAGTCCCAGTCTTCTGTTTCTGCTGGTACGTGCATTTCAATCCAAAGACGAGATGTGTGATGCAGAATGAACGTTAAATACTCTAAAAAAAAAGAATAAAAAGATTAAGAAGATAAAAAGACTCAATCATTTGGCTACTTCAATGTTTACCTCCACTTATCCAATCGTGCTCTAAATACTCATAAAGGTTGAAATTTACACGTTTGAGTTTGCAGATGCTGACGCTTCCATTCACCTCCATCCTCCCCTCCACCACCAAGATGTCCCTTCTCCTCCACCCTCCCCAACACCTCCACCAGGATGGTCCCGTCCCATAAGGAGGGTCGGCTGCGCCACTGCCTTCGCAGATTCCGTACCCTCGGAATTTGAACTACGGATGGGGCCTACACCAAATAACTTTACATTATATTATGCTTGCTGAGCTGTTAATAAATGTTTACTGGTAACGGCATTATTCTCCCGAGTCTTTCTGGTAGAACTGAGGGCTTAAATACACAAACAGAATGATCAACCGAATAAAGAACAGGAGCGTAACTCAATTAGAAACCATAAGCAGCTACTAACTGGGGAAATTATTTAAACTACACTAAACTGAGCATGACAATGAAACTGTTAAGTTAACAAAACAAGATATGAATGTGACAGTAACACACACTAGTATATAAACAGCGCTAGCTTTTTTCATTATAGTATAAATGTCTCTGTTTTCTGTATAGCAAGTAGGTTTTAAGGAACATTTCTAAAGCAGTTTTGCATGAGCCTGTGGTTGTTTGTTTCGACAGCAGCATGGTTATCAAAAGCCAAAGGGTTTGTCCTTTGCCTTCCCCTCACTCTGTAATTTGTAGGCATTGCACAAATAGGCCAATTATCTTCATACCAATGATTTCAGCACAACCTTTGGTCCCAACCTTCCCAACACCCATTCCCCGCTGTGGGTGACACACAAGGGTACGAGGTGGCAAGGGAGCAGTTCGACCTGATAGCACTACAGTTACAGTCATTAAAAATGTTGTCTTCATCAACATTAGACTAATTTGGAGTGCATGGGGTTATTAAAGGATATGATTTGCAGAAGCAGATGATGGATACTTTTCCAAATTAAACTTCATTTCTTTCAAAAGTTTGAGTCCTAGGTTTAGATAATTGGAAAGCAACTTCAGTATGGCAATGGAAAAGACTATATCCCGACAGTGGTTACAGATCATTAAATACTTAGATTAAAATCGCAAAACTGAACAAAACATACCTGTGTAAAAAGAGAGAGAGGATCAAAACATCCCTATAATAGCATATTGTTCTCAAGTAGATAAAGAAAATGTTCCAAAAACAAAACAACAAACTTATTTTCTATTTAAAACCCCATTGGGATTAATATGAATTGGATTTAAATACTCATGGGACCAAGATGCTTTGAACATGGTCTTGTGGGAGAAAACATGCCATTTCTTAATTCCCTGACTGTTCGTAAGAAAGTAGACGTTCAAACATAATCTTTCCATATCTTTATGGGCGAATAAACCAAATCAAGGCAACATCAAAGAAACAAACAGCAAAGTTTTGCTGAAAAACTCTTGGAAAGGGAACAGAGGATTGGAAAGTGGCTTTGAAGCTGATAAAAGAACGTTTATTTTTATCAACTGATAACTTGTTGACTCAAATTATTTCTAGCAAAGCATACTTGCATTCTTAAAATGACCAAAGGCACCCTACGTTCAGATTATGTACTTGAATTTGAACTTTCACTGTTAGCACATTCTTTTGGTGTAGTTTAAGCAACAATTTAGCAGACACACAATTAGTATGTTATCTACAGTGCTTAGACTTGAAAAGAGATGCTCAACTTTTTTTTTCATTTAAAAATCGGACAGCCTCTGGCCTTATGTGATAGCAAACTGTCCAGCGGTTGCACAGTTTAGAATCTCAACAAATGCTCTTGTCAAGGTATTGTTCGTCTGTTTCATGAATACTGCATATTCTCTAATATCCCATTCGTATGGCATACTGTACTATATTCTTATGAACAATACTGACCTATGACCTCTGTGTGTTTAAGAGGGCAAGCTAATTTGGGTCAATAGCACTTTAAACTCATTAGTTCTGGTGGCTGAATCATGCACACATGCACATTCTTCATGTAGTCGACTGTGTCCTTGACGTGCCCAGACTTCAGTTCAGTTGAACTATTGTGTCTCTTAGGTTTAAATGAGCATGATTAAAGTTCCTCATTTAAAGAGGTCTTTGAATCACACTAATGGCAATGTGTAGTCTGTGGAAATGATGAATAGTTCTGGCCAAGAATAAAACTGATCTGTTGATTAGATATTTTGGTGGATGTATTCCAAATGAGGGGATAGGCTATATATATATATATATATATATATATATATATATATATATATATATAAGTTTTTAAATGATTTAAAAATATATATTTTATATGTTTTTTTTTTTAATTCTACTACTTATGTGTAAATCACTTTGAATTAACGCTGTAAATGCTCGCCTTTGCCTCATGTAGCCCAAGTATGCCGTCATGTCACTTGGTGAAACGACCAAAAAGCCTGTTGTTTTCAGTATTTCGCTCACTTTATAGTAGACTCATCACATTGAGTGACTGCTCTAGGCTGCCTCGGGTCGCACCACGATCGAGCATCTCGGCGGCTGGGCTCACATCCTCAGTCGGCATGAGAGGAAGGACACGGCGGCTGCGGAGAACCGACTGCGCCGTGACAATTACAATTCGCACCAGATTTCTACCGACGTAGTCAACAGCACCGTTTTTTTCTTTCAGTTAACAAGGGTCAGACAACGTCGCTGGAAAGAGAGTCTACAAGACGTCAGACTATCTAGTGAGCTGCCTACAGACAGATTTGTTTTGGGCATCATACCGCGTTCGCGGGTGCTCTGGGCAGCATTCATTCACAGTCGCTGTCCACACACACATGTACAGTATGTGTGAACGTGCGGAGAAGTTGAAGATGCCACTCTAAATCATCCGTACACTTGGATCGACGGTAAGAACACGTATTTATTATGGGAGAATTCAAATAGGCTACTGTTACCAACTTGATGTTGTTAAGGATCATGTAGGGACTCGCACCTGTGCATGTAACCTTTTCCAATCCAAACAATATACCACATTATACGTCGTTTTCACGAGTCTATTGTTGTGTTTCATGCCCAAAGCCTCAAAGTTGTCAGACGTCTTTTCCTTCATACGCTGTTGACTTCTGGGATATTTTAAGAGACATAAAAAGGTGACTCAACTGACATAAAGTAAGGAAGGACATAGCCTATAACCTAAATGTGTCATATTGCCCTAAAGGCATTGGAAGCTTGGTATGGCTAATGGGTGAGATTTATTTTGAGAATGGGTACTTGATGGAACGGTCGTGGCTCTGTGCTACTGTTTATTTGTGTCTATATTGTACCGTACATTTTAAATTCTGGAAAGTGTCTTTTCTCCTTGTGGAAACTGAATATTGTGCCTGAGAAGTGTTTGCTTCAGTAATGGATGTTTTAGAAGATTTCAGATAAAACTATGCCTTGAAATGATGTGAATGTGCACAGGGGCTTAAGTTCCATGCGGTTGGTTTAAGATTTTACTGAATATTTCAGAAGTTAAAATGACTTAGAGTAGTTCGTTTTACACACTGCAGGACCATTTAAAATAAACTATAGTGAAAGCAAAATATTGATGTTGAATAAAAATAAATTCATGGAGATGTTTTACGTGAGCTAGGCTACCATGTAGTCTTAAACTTAGTTTACAATAAACCACAGCTTTGTAATGCCTATAAACTCAGATCAGTGTCTGTAATACTTCGAGCCTTTTGGACCAGTAGTTCCTCCCCTAGTGGGGTAAATCATTCATTGCAACAGATACAATCACACTGTGAAGGATTACTTTATTTGAGCAAATTCAATAGATCTCTGGTGTCAGGTATTCTTTTTATTAAAAGTTCAGTCTTTTTCGATATAGTCTACATTCAATACTTTTAAATTCAGTTATGCTAGATTTAAAGTAGCCTAAGCATTTTGAATTTTGACATTTTATATCTTATCATAAAAGCTAAAAATGATTCTTAAGATATTATGATTTGTTAGTAAACATTATCACTGTGATAAATTACATCATTAAAGGAAAGTATGGGATTCGCAAGACATGCCTTCTGCGGACTCTCTGTTCTGTCCTCAGTACTTTTGACCTGTGGGCAGTATTACCAATTCAGACATAAAGAAGCACTCCATGCACTTTAGATTGGGAACCAGTGCCCATGTTTAATGCATATACCCTAGACTGTTGAATGTGGAGAAGTGGCTGAGAGAGAACGTTTCTAATGAGAATAGTATTTTAGATGCAGTAAAGCCCTTTTGTGAGAGGAAAAGTCTCTTAGAGACTGAGATTAAATAAAAGAAGGGTTTATGTAGGGAGTAAATCCCTCCCTGTATTTTATTTTAGACAGAAATGCAGCTCACTTTTGTCAAAAAGGTCTATCAAAACTTCAAAGCTTTATTAAGAGTATTCAGTGATGTTGTGTACGAAATTTTATCTTTGATTTATTTTTTATTTTTGTGTAACAATAAGTTACAATGTTCAATATATGGTGAAACTGTGTGAAACTTGTAGGTTATTAATGCCACTGTTACATCCAAAGCCTTTTTGAGGAAAAATACTGCATGTATATTTCATATGCACATCTGTGTTAAACTCAGGGACTGTGCTGTACTTTTTGGATTTACACCTTTAATCATAACAAATCAGAACATTGAGCGATACAAGTTACAATGATGTTGTGTTGCATCTCTCTTATATCTTATGATGGATTTTCTTATGCTAAGAGGAAAAGTTGTTCATAGTCTACGTATATTGCAATAAGTTCAACAATAATTGTACCGATGGGACTCCTCTGAGGGAGTTTAATAAACTACTTTTCACGCAGTAAGTGGGACCCGCACCAGCAATTGGCATTAGTGTTTCTCGAAAGGCTTAAGCTGCAGCATACCGCTTATCAACTCAGGAGTGTCTTTTCATGAGTGAGCGAGCCAAGTCAGATATAAGGAACGTGGGTCGGCATTATTCAACAGACAATTACACGCATTAAGAAAGCTAGAATCCCTACATCCAGCCACGATCATACTGAGGTAAATGGTAATTAGCTGTCCTATTTTAATCCACTATAGATGTGCTCTGACATGAGGATGCCAGGCTTTGACTGTGGCAGAGGATTAAGGTGCCCGTGAATAAGAGCGGGTGGAAAAGGTGTGTCAACGTTCTCTCACCCTGCTCTCGCGAGTATCCACATTTTTCATCGGTGTTCTAGCACTGACCTCTGATTAGCCACTTCATTGCGAAGAACACTCACCTCGAGCAGCTGTTGTCCTGGTCACACCAGGCTTTGAGCATGCTAATTTGGACCTGAATATTGGAAACATAGGATGTCACACTATAGGGCTTCTGTTTAAAAAAAAAAAAAAAAAAAAAAAAAAAATATATATATATATATATATAATGAATTATTAATACTACATATTATTATTATTATTATATACTATATAATACTTATTAATACTACTACATAATTTGAATTAATAATTATTATCGGCAACAGACTATGTTGTCATGCTCTATGGGCTTCTGTTTTAAATAAATAATAAATCAAATACTAAAAATGCTGGGTTGTTTTAACCCAAATTTGGGTCAAATATGGACAAACCCAAACGTTGGGTTAATTTTTTTTAACCCAATGTTAAAAAATGTAATTAAAAAATTTAACCCAATGGCTGAGTTTGTCCATATTTGACCCAAAGTTGGGTTAAAATAACCGAGCAATTTTTAGAGTGTATTATTACTACTACTACTTTTTATTGTAGATTATTATTGTAGATTATTACTACTACTATTATTGTAGATTTATGACTACACTGTAAAAAATGATTATGATTTTAACGGTAAAAGACAAAGAGAAAAAAAAAACTGTTAATCGGTTTCCTTACTATATACGGTAATGGTGCATTTCATGTAATTTTACTGTAAAATAGCGTTAAATTTACAGTTTAAATTTTTGAAAGTGAAAAAGAACTCGTTGTATAATTTATAGTGTACTACTGCTAACAATAATTCATAATATAAGTGAATGATATTAAAAATGGAAAAATATAAGTTATTTCTTTATTAGATACTATAGTGTATATGAGACAAGAAGCAATAGGGAGGAGAGAAAGGAGAACACGACAGGCAAAGGAACTCAAGCCGGGACTCAAACTCGGGTCAGCGCTGACCCACAAGGCTATTGCTCCGAAGTTATGAAGATCTAATTAAAAATAAATTCAAAATATCGTTGCATTGAGCCAGGGGGTCAGTGATGTTTGCATCCTCTCATATTCAAATTTCTTTTTTTTTTAATAAAAATTCACATATCAGAATTCTCCAAACACAGACAAGACTTATTCACGTGAGCTTGTGTTTCCATTCTCCAGCATTTTGTGTGTACATTTTTAACTGTTTTCTCTTTAAGAGTGTGATTTAACAAGGTTAAGGTGTTGCTTGGGTGCACCTTGTTCAGTTGAACTGAAAGACTATTGATGTGATGCATGTGCAGGCGCTAATTGTGTCTGTCTTCCACTCTGTGAAAGGTGAAATTACTCTCAGGACAGGTGAATTTAATTTTCCTCGCATGGGGAGGAAGAAGCAGGGTTTTGGCTCAGTGGTTTTGATGAATGCAGGCTGAGAGAGGGTGAGGAAGAGGCAGATTCACTGTATAGTCATAAGAGGAGGAAAGTGGGAGGAATCTGGGCCATCTGTTAGACTTAGCAAGTGATATTTTGTGGGCAATGATGACGCCGTTGAACCACACAAACAGGCTTTGTTGTGAAACTTGAAGCCAAAGCCTGATTTGTTAGTGACAGAGGTGCTTCGGCTTCACAATCTGTCTCTGCTTTTTAAGAGATAGTCATATTTAATACAAGTAACCTGCTTTCTCTGTTTGATTTGCAAACATACTGATGATATTGAAATACTGGCTAATAAACTTAATTATTTTAACGTTTTAGCTGATAACTGGCAGTTACAGCTTAGTCTTGTTTTTTTGCACCATTTGACTCAGTTTAATTCCAATTGGTGATTAATTGTATTTGATCGTAGTTATTCTGTCTAATCACAATTATTTGAGATAATCCCAATTTAAAATTTTAGTTCTTAAAGAAATCACATCAATTAGTGAGAAAATCATAATCGGCCAGGGAGTAAAGAATAAAGAATAGGCTATATGGAAAATATGATATTTTCTACTTGTTAACTGGTATTTAACAGTGCATAGCGTTCAGGTGCTTTTGTTGTCGTAATGTGGTAAAAAGATGGAGATCCAGACTTGTTATTTAGCTAAAACTATTTTAGATTGGTTAAGTCACCTGCTAAAGCAAGAAAATGATTTATCAAAACTCAAACGGTAAATAATATGCTGTATATTTTCCAGATCATGAATAGTACATATTTTTACCATTCACAACTCTTGCGTTGCTCTCCGCCATTTTGAAAAGGTCAACGGCTATCTTATCTCGGCAACTCGTGCATCAAAATATTCTACGAGTTGCCCAGTGGAAAATACCACACGAGGGAGTGTTCATGTGCATTTTCCACGTCGGCTTTTGGTATTTATCATAATTAGCATAGCACATGAACGCAGCATAATAATAGTAAGTTTAGTAACTTTCTCTGGCCAAACTATTTCAAAATGGTGGGGTTATTCTGGATACTCCATCTGGCACGTGAAATGATGACGCAGTGAATGACGATTCTCTCTGACCAATCAGCAATCGGCATTGTTTTCACGTCACATTTTAGTATCGCCTCAGCTCAATAGCAGGTACAGGTACAACTTTTACACAGTGGGAAACAAAGCCAAGGCGAGTCGAGTCAAGCTAGTTCTGTGTAGTGGAAAAGCACCATTACACTATAAGTCAGTGACATGAACAAAACTGAATTAAACTATGAATCACAATTATTTGTATATGT